GGGATTCTCTCTCTCCCTCTCTCTCTGCCCCTGCCCTGCTTGCACTCTCTCTCCCTCAAAATAAATAAACATTAAAAAAAAAAACAAAAACAAAAACGGAAATGTGGGGTTTCTGATCTGCCTATCCTGCCCATCCCCATCCCTCAGGATTCTCTGGGTGGCTCAGCCCACAGCATCCTCATTGCCAACATTGCCCCCGAGAGACGTTTCTACCTAGATACAGTCTCTGCACTGAACTTTGCTGCCAGGTCCAAGGAGGTGATCAATCGTCCTTTTACCAACGAGAGTCTGCAGCTTCGTGGTGAGGACTGGGGTTGGCAAGAGTGGAAAAGCCAGATCTGGACAGCTGGGGAGTTTGCTGACTCTGCCAAGCATCAGCATAGAGGCTGACCGCCCCTCCCCCCACCCACCCCACATCTTTCCTAGTCTTGGCACCCATTAAACTGTCTCAGAAAGAACTGGTAGGCCCATCAGAGGCAAAGAGAGCCCGAGGCCCTGAGGAAGAGGAGATTGGGAGTCCTGAGCCCACAGCAGCTCCAGCCTCTGCCTCTCAGAAACTCAGGTGAGCAGAGTGGGAGGGGCCTTGGGTATATTTCCTGTTCTGTTGTGTCTGGGTTGGGTGCAGGGCAGTAGTGGGTTTAGTCTGTGAACTTGTTCCTCATTGAATTCACCCCAAATCCTACTCTACCGAATTCACTGAAGTGCTAAGGTCAATCTCTGTCCTTGGTGCTGCTGCCCGGGGCCTGAAGAAAGCCTCCTCCTTGAGTTCCTAGCCCCTCCCTTTCCATTTTCCAATCCCTTTAGGCAGTCAGCAAAACCTCACATTTGGGGGCAGCTCTTTCTGGTTCAAGAAGTAATCTAGATCAGGTCTTTCAAGTCTAGAGGATAAGTGCAAAGCAAAGAGACAAGGAGGAGATGAAGAGCCATGTGTCCTTGAGACCTCTCAGTCTGTGCGTTAGAGTCCAGCATCTCCAGGACCCTACAAGGAGCCTGTTGCTATCTAACTTTGCTTCTAACCTCAGTCCAGAGTCACTGTGTCCCTCCCTTCTGTGTGTATGGCGAGTCTCCCTAGTTCTGATGGCCCCAGCTCATGGCCCAGTATGCTTGAATCCTTAGGTCACTGCTGTTTAGTGGTCTTGCCTAGCTTTCTGTGTCTGGCCACCTGGCCCCCCCTAATAATTCTAGGGAGCCAGCCACAGTTTTTACTTTGCCCAGTTTCTACCCAAGCCCAAGTACAGTCTCTCTAAACTGTAAGTCTAAAGACTAGTGAATAGGGGTGACCAGAGGAGGTCAAGGATTAGTACATCCTCTGCCCTGGGGAGGCTGCTGTAGTTGAGGATGGATGGCATATAGCAACAGGTGCTTGCTTGCTTAGAACTCCATGTCAGTTTTGTCTCTCTCAAGCTATTTGTCAGCAGAAATGTACACCCCTGCACATGTGAATAGGCAAAGCTTAGAGATGGGGCACATCAGACCTAGTCAGACCTTGACCTCGGGCTCTAAAGGAAAGAAGACTAGAACATCAGTATATGATGGAGGGTAGGTAGTACAGGATGCAGTAAGGAAAGAGGAGCTGCTTCTGTGAGAGCCAGGAAGGAAGAAATGACTTCTGGTATTCACCCATATTTTCTGATCCTGCTCTTCCTAGGCACTTGCACACAAAGAACAGGGCAGTCTCTGTCCTTGAGGAGCTAGTTCACAGTATAGGAAAGAAGATACACAATCAAGCTGGGTTTTACGGGAAAGGTGGTATCAGATTGACTTTTGAATGATAATTGTGAGGGGAAAACTTCCAGGCAGAAGGAACAAATGTTAGGCATTATGCTCAGATTAAGTCAGGACTCAGCTCGAATATGCCTTTCCTACTGCCCATGGGAAGAAGGCTTGGCATTTGAGGTCTGCAGCGGCTTTCAAAGCCCTGCTGAGGATGACTTCCTTTGTAAATCTTTCCCCACATGCTCCTCCAATAAAGGCACACAGCCCTTGCTGTCACCTTATCACAGTCTCTTCTTCCCCATTAGACTGTGAGTGCCTATAGGGCAGGGAGTGTCTTAGAGCCTGAACACCTACAACTCAAGTGTTCATTAAATACTTGTTCTCATCAGATCTCCTAGCATCCCTGAGAGGTTACCTGGGCAAGTAGTGATTGATCCTCACTCACTTAATGAAGACACTGCACCCAGAGAGTCTGAATGACTTGCTCAGGGTTGCCCAGCAACTTAATAGCAGAATCTGGAATCACAGAATACACCAATTTAAGGCATAATGAAGGGAATCCTGCTGTGGAGAGGGCGATAAGAGGAGAGGTGGGTGTGGAGTAACCTTTGTCTGCTCAGCCCCCTACAGAAGCTGAGCAGCATGGACCCAGCTGTGCTGGAGCGCCTCCTCAGCTTGGACCGTCTCTTGGGCTCCCAGGGGAGCCAAGGAACCCATGGGCTGAACACCCCAAGGCGAGAGCGGATAGTGCTCATGAAGACCATGGAAGAGAAGGATTTGGAGATTGAGGTAAGTGTTGGGCAGGTGGGGCTGGGATTCCTATTGGCCTTGAGAAGCAATCTGAGGATCTTCAGATAGGGAAGGACACTGAAAGGCTGGACCAGCATCCGATTTCTACCTAACCGGGAATCCCTGTTCTTCAGCTTCTGCTTGAATGTCCTTAATATGACTGGACTTTGAAAATAATTGATCAACTGTGAGGAGGTGAGGGGGGTGGAAATCCAGGTAAAAGGAACAATAGAAGAGATTGTCATTTTGTAACACCAGCTCAAATTAAGTTAGGACTTTCGAACGGTCTTTCCCTTCAGTGTTTCACAAAGGGGCCCATTCCGCCTCTGAGCATCCCTGATCATTAGAAAGCCCTTAATTACAGTGGCTCCAGTTGTCTCCTGGTAGCTTCTCTCCTTGGTCCTTGCCCTGCCTGCTAGGGCGTCAGAGTCCTGTACTCACTTTCCTAATCCACTGCCATCCAAGCTGCCTGAAAGTCGTTGGTTCTAGGTGACATGTCTCCTTGATCCTTTCCAATAGAGGCTGAAGATGAAGCAAAAAGAACTGGAAGCCAAGGTTTTGGCCCAGGAGGCTGTAGACCCAAAGGATAAAGAAAACTCCTCTCCTGCAGTGCTCCGACCGCTTGCGCGCCGCACAGTCACAGCAGCTAAGCCCCTCAAAAAGGCTGTGGTGATGCCCCTGCAACTGAGTAAGTGTGGCGGTGGGGACCAGGAGGGCCAGATAACACATCTTGGAAAGGGAAGAGGTGTTTGGAGCAGCTTTCATCATGTCATTTGTGTGCTCCCACTATGTTGCAACCCCAGGGAAGGGTGAGGACTGTCTGAAACAGAGCTTGAGTGTTCTGTTCTCAGGCATTTAGTATGTTAACTAACATACAGACTAACAACAGACTACTTTCCAATACAAGAAAGGTCACATGGAAACAACAAAAGAGGAGGTTAATTTGGGATGGAGGGGACCGACCCAAGGAATCAGAAATGGGAGAACCAAGGGGCCACCAGGGAGGGTGAGAAGAAGTAGCCTCTGCCATGATTCTGGTTCACAATTCTTGCCTTCAGTTCAGGAGCAGGCGGCATCCCCAAATGCTGAGATCCATATCTTGAAGAAGAAAGGCCGGAAGAGAAAGGTGAGATTAGCTGGAGGCTTCGGCTACACTTAGAGCGGAAAAGGGTGGGTAGTAAGCTCTAGTGAGAAGAGCACTGGCCATGGAGTCAAAACACGTACCAGCAATTTACAAGTTATTTATCCTCTGAATATGGAGACACCTCATAGGGCATTTAGGATGACATACAGTATGTACCTAGCGGAGAGGGTGTCCAACACCTGTTACTTCCCTTTCTTCTGATGGCTCTCCCCCTCAGTCAGTAGCTACTTGCTAGGTACATTGTGTAGCCTGAGTCCCACTCTCTACCAATTTAAGAGCCCACTTAGGGAAACATGACCTAAGCATTCAAGAAATGAAACAACACCGAAAAAATTACCTAAAAACTGAGATGATATGTTGGGGGCATGGGTATCATTTATCGCGTGCCTTCTGTGTTCCTCCCTAGGAGGGAAAGATGATTTTTGGAGATGAGGCAGATTTAAATTCTTTTTTTTTTTCAACGTTTATTTATTTTTGGGACAGAGAGAGACAGAGCATGAACGGGGGAGGGGCAGAGAGAGAGGGAGACACAGAATC